GAACAATGTTTATTTGGTGCTAATTAGGTACAGAGATAAATAAAACCCATAATTACTTATGTATAAGTACATACATCAGGGAGAAATAATAACATACCTCTGCTTTAGCCTTACCTATATTCATATAGTTTGTTTTTCTGTATTACGAACTGTTAGCTCTGTTGACAATTTTTTTCTTAAAAGATGTATGGGTAGGTATAAACCTTTGGCCAAAATATGGTCTCATTCTGTCAATCTGCATGAAAAATAACCACAAATTTTGACTCGTGCAATTTTAAACCTCATTTTAGAATGCCCTTTTTTAAAAAAAAATAAATTTCCTGTTTTGAAAAATTATAGATTTAGAAGAAGTTGCAAAAATATGTACAGAGAAGTCCTGGGTATACTTTAGCCAGTTTCTCCCGAAGATAATACTGTGACTAGTTGTAGTACGATGTGAAAACCAGGAAATTGACATTGGTACAACCCACAGAGCTTAGTCAGATTTCACTCGTATTGTGTGTGTGTGTGTGTGTGTGTGTGCGCTCGTGTGTGTGAATGTGTGTGTAGTTCATGCAATTTTATCCCGTGTGTGCATTAGTATGACAACTATGACAATCGAGATGCAGAACTGTTCCATCACCACGTGGCTCCCTTTACAGCCAGTCTTATCCCCCCCTCAGCTCCCTCCCCGACACTGACTCCTTAAAACTGCTAATTTATTCAGCATCTCTCTAATTTTATTATATTATATAGAGTGTTATATAAATGGAATCATACAGCATGCAACCTTCACTCAACACAATACTCTTGAGCTCCATCTGCCTTGCATGGATATCAATAATGTATTCCTTTATGTTGCTACATACTATTAGCTCATGTGGATATACCATTGCTTGTATAACTATTTATCTACTGAAAGTGTTTGGACTATTTCCAGTTTTTGTCTCTTATAAATAAAGCTTCTCTGAACCTCTCTGTATATAAGTTTTGTATGAACATAGTTTTCATTTCTTTGAGATAAATGCCTGAGTACAACTGTTGGGTTATATGGTCGGTTTTATAAGAAACTCCCAAATGGAGCACCAGGGTGGCTCAGTTGGTTAAGCATCTGCCTTTGGCTCAGGTCATGATCCCAAGGTTCTGGTATCAAGCTCCACAGCAGGCTTTCTATCCAGTGGGGAGTCTGCTTCTCTGCCCCTCCCCTGGCTGATGCTTTCTCTTTCTCTCTTGTGTGCCCTCTCTCTCTCTCTCTCAAATAAATAAAATCCTTTTTAAAAAAAAAGAAAAGCTCTCAAATGAGTTTTCATTTTATTTTTCCCCAGCAATATTTGAATTATCCTATTTCTCTGCATCCATACCAGTGTTTGGTATTATCATTATGTTTTGTTTTAGCTATTCTGATGGGTATATGCTATTTTGCTGTAGTTTTAATTTGCATGTTACTAAAGGTTGATGATGTTAAATGCTTTCCATGTATGTATATGCCATCTGTATATCCTTTCTGCTGCAAAACCTATTTTCTTCTTCTCTCTCTCTTTTAAAAATAGTTTATTTATTTATTTGAGCGGGGAGGGGCAGGCGAGAGGGAGAGAGAGTATCTTTTTTTCTTTTTTTTTTAAGATTTTATTTATTTATTTGACAGAGAGAAATCACAAGTAGGCAGAGAGGCAGGCAGAGAGAGAGGAGGAAGCAGGCTCCCCACTGAGCAGAAAGCCCGATGCGGGGCTCGAACCCAGGACCTGGGATCATGACCTGAGCCGAAGGCAGCGGCTTAACCCACTGAGCCACCCAGGCGCCCCGAGAGAGAGTATCTTAAGCAGATTCCCTGCTGAACGCAGAGACTGACTTAGGGATCAATCTCACGACCCTGAGGCCACGACCTGAGCAGAAACCAAAAGTCAGTCACCTAAAAGACTGAGCCACCCAAGTACCCCTGCAATAGCCATTTTCTAATTAGATTTTTTTTTCTATTGAATTTTGAGAGCTTATTGTCTATTCTAATACTAACACTTTGTTGGATATGTGGCTTGCGTAATTTTCTTCAAGTCTCTACCTTGTATTTTTATCTTCTTGACAAAGCATTAACCCACAATTTAGATGAGGTCCAATTTATTAATTTTTCTGTTATGTGTCATGTTCTGTTGTTAATCCTAAAAACTCTTAACCTAGTCCTTAGTCCCCCCGATTTTTTTCTAAAAATTTTATAGTTTCTCATTTTATGTTAGTCTATAATTCATTTTCAATGATTTTCATGCAAGGTATGAAATTCGTATCTACTTTTTGTTTGTTTGTTTGCCTATGGATGTCCAAGTGTACTGGCAGCCATTGTTGAAAAGGTTGAATTCCTGTTAAATTGTTTTGGCATCTTTGTCAAAAGCCAGCTGGCCATATTTGTGTAGGTCTATTTCTGGGTTCTCTATTTTGTTCTTCTGGTCTATGTATCTATCCCTCTGCCAATATCACTCAGCTTTGATTACTTTTGCTGTATAGTAAGTCCTAACACTAGGAATAGCGATTCCTCCCACTTTCTTTCTTAAATTGTTTTAGCTATTCTAGATCTTTTGCCTTTCAATAATAATCTTGTCTCTGTCTACAAAAGCTATTCTGGGGTTTGGATAGGCATTTCATTCAATAAAAAAGATCAATTTGGAAACAACTGACACCTTTACCATGTTGAGTCTTCCAGTTCATGAACCTGATATGTCTCTCCATTTATTTAGGTTTTCTTTAATTTATTTCATTAGGTTTTTTTTTTTTTTTTTTTTTTGTAATTTTCAGCAAAGGAGTCCTGTATATATGTTGGTAGATTAAGTATTTTATTTTCTTTGGAGCAATTGTAAATGGTATTGTGTTTTAAATTTGTTTTCACATTATTGTTTTTAGTATGAGGAAATGCAGTTCATTTTTGTGTGTTGATCTTACAACATGCCATCTTGTTGAGCTCACTAATTAGTTCCAGGACCTTTGCTGTAGGTTCCTTTTTTTTTTAAAAAAAACATAGGTGATCGTGTCATATATATATATAATTTTATTTCATCCCTTTTATTTTGTGTGTCTTTAATTTCTTTGTCTTGCCATTTTACACTGGCTAGAACTTCCAGGACTATACTGAATAACAGGTAAGAGTGGACATCCTTGCCATGTTGATGATCTTGGGGGGAAAACATTCATTTTTTCACCATTAAGTATGATGTCAGTTGCAGGTTTTTTGTAAATGCTCTTTATCAAGTTGAGAAAACTTTTGACTCTTGTTTGTGGAAACTTTTTATTATGAAAGAGTATTAAATGCTGTCAACTGATATATCAAATCATTTTTTTTCTTCTTTATCTTACTGATATGGTAGATTACATTAAATGATATTCAAATACTGAACCGACCTTGCATATGTGAATTATTCCCAGTAGGTCATATATAAATCTTCTTATACATTGCTGAGTTTGATCTGCTATTATTTTGTTTAGGATTTTTGCATCTAATTTCATGAGGTATACTGGTCTTTCATTTTCTTTCTTGTGTTCTTTCTTTCTTTCTATCTTTCTTGTGAATTCTTTCTTTCTTTCATACTGAATTGGTCTAGTTTTTGTGTCAGGGTAATTGTGGCTTCACAAAATGAGTTGGAAACTATTCCTCCTCCTCTATTTTCTAAAAGAGTTTCTGTAAAGTTGGTGCTAATTCTCCTTTAAATGTTTTGAATTATCTTTTTATTGGTAACTGATGCTCTGTTCATCTATCTCTCATGGTTTGAACATGAGTAATCCATAACACTTTCACTTAAAAATAGGAATAAAACTTACCCATTTTATCTTATATGAGGTTTTTGTAGGAAATGTAGGGATACAATCGAATTCCCTGTTTGCCCATTCTCAGGTGCGGTGAGGTCAATGCTGGATATGGTCAATCATTCAGCTGACAATGGCTAGCCTGATCTTATGCACTCAAAATGCTTAGGTAAAGCTGTATCTACGGGTATAAATAAGTCAAGAAATGCATTTAGGAAAACTCTGATAAACATTCTCTGCTGTCTGCTCTTGCCACATTGCTGGGTTAGCATTTACTGTTGCATGCTGATAATGAATCTTAGAGCTCACTACTAAAAGAGGGAAAGAGGGACACCTGAGTGGCTCAATTGGTCAAGCAACTGCTTTCGGCTCAGGTCATGATCCTAGAGACCCTGGATTGAGTCCCACATCGAGTCCCACATCGAGTCCCACATCGAGTTCCACATTAGGCTCCGGGCTCAGCAGAGAATCTGCTTCTCCCTCTGACCCCTCCCCTCTCATGCTCTCTCTCTCAAATAAATAAAATAAATCTTAATAAAAAAAAAGCAGAAAAGACATTATCCTTTCCTTCTCCCTTTTTTTTTTTTAAGATTTTATTTATTTATTTGACAGACAGAGATCACAAGTAGTCAGAGAGGCAGGCAGAGAGAGAGAAGGAAGCAGGCTCCCTGCTGAGCAGAGATCCTGATGTGGGGCTCGATCCCAGGATCCTGGGATCATGACCTGAGCCGAAGGGAGAGGCTTTAACCCACTGAGCCACCCAGGTGCCCCATTATCCTTTCCTTCTGTTCTCCCACCTGGGAGTGTAGGAATGGGAAGGATGAACTCGAATGCTTATACATTTTATATATCACATATAAGCTTATCTATTTTATATGAGCTTATCTCTCTCTTTCGCCTTCTCTGTCTTCTTAGACATTATCTAGTTTAAGTTTCATGTCTTAACAATTAAGGACACTGAGGCTTAGCAGAATGACGTATTTAAAAAGAGAATTTTTTATTTGCATCAAGTCCAATTCTATTGATTTATATATGAAAAGGAAAGATTCGATTTCCTAGCTCTTTCCTAAGGAAAAATTGTTTTCTTATTTACATGGCTCCAGAGTGTGTTAGGAGCTATAAGCTGAGGGGTCAAGACACTGATGAGTATTATTAGTAGTACTGTTAAAACTACTAGTTGTTTTTATGACTGGTAAGCCAATTTTAGAGTAACTTTGTTTTCTTTTTCTGTTTTGCAGGAGAGCCATGGATTACTACAGAAAATACGCAGCTGTCATTCTGGCCACATTGTCTGTGTTTCTGCATATTCTCCATTCCTTTCCTGAAGGAGAGTTTACAATGCAAGGTATGTGGCTGAACGGATTTGCAGTAATAAGAAAAACACACATTTCTAGATGTACATCAATAACTCCATTAATTACATTTCCACTTCCTTTTCAAATGTGATAAATCTTTGCTGCTGGGTACATATCCAGACACTTTTCGACTATACACATAAAGTTAAGTTAGGTTCAGATGATGTGTAGTGAAAATTTATCGAACATGTCCATTTAAATAGCAGCATATACATTTTCATCTGAAATAGATTCCTTATTATTCTTTATCCGAGTTTTATAAGTAGAAAATGCTCCTTATTTAATCAGCTCAATTTTCTTTTTACATTTTTCCCAGAAGCTTTGAGAAGATTTTAACATTTCCTCTGTAGACGAATTTTCACATCAGTTAACAAATGAGAAAAACAACACCATTTTATGCAGTACATTTGCTTTGCTGTATTGTTTGAAAAATCTCATAGAGTAGCTGATATAATTCCATATGTGATGAAATTGTGAGCTACTCTTGGTTATGGTTTTTCTTAGACAATTGGTAATATTTTAATCCCAGTTCTCCGGTGTGGATGCTCCCGGTCTGATATCAGGGCTCTCTATTCACCAAGTTTTCTTAATTCTGACATATTTTTCTCTGTCAATATTTGGATTTTCCATGGGGGGAAAAAACAATAGCATGTTCTAAAGGGGAAACTGTTTTGCTTCTGGGCAAAATTCTCCTTTCAGATGAGCATGGTGTTTTCATCTGTCAAGTTTTGTGCTTCCTATAGGCATGCTATTAACACGGATAGAGAATCCATGGTTGAAGAGACAGAAACAACTCCTCTTTTTTTTTTTTTTATGTTTATGTGAGAAACTACGACTCTTGAGATCTCTCATGCATATCTGCAAAAATTATTTCCCATGAAAACAAATACAATCAGTACAAATAGATATTATGCATGAAAGTTAACAGCCAAAAAATGTTTATTATTTTCCTTCTATTTCCAATGGAAAAAGAATATTTACCATCTCATAATCAGGGAAAATTCAGGTTCTTTTTTTAAATTTTATTTTTCAATTAAAAAAAAAATAAGCTCTATGCCCAGGGTGGGGCTTGAACTTACAATCCCGAGATCAAGAGTCACATGTTCCACCACTTGAGCCATTTCTTTTTGAGTCATTCTTGGATTATTTTACTCTTTGCCTTTTTTGGTGGTAGGTTGCCCAGAATGCAAGCTAAAGGAAAACAAATACTTCTCCAAGTTGGGTGCCCCAATTTTTCAATGCATGGGCTGCTGCTTCTCCAGAGCATATCCCACTCCAGCAAGGTCCAAGAAGACGATGTTGGTCCCAAAGAACATCACTTCAGAAGCCACATGCTGTGTGGCCAAAGCATTTACCAAGGTGAGAACTTAGAGGGCCCCAGAAGTTTTCTAACAGTACAACCTGAGAAATGTCCCCAGAACACATCCATGGGGTTTCATGTCAGAATTGTCTAATGACCCATCCTTTGCTTCACACTGGTACATGGATTCATCCCTTTACAACAAAAATAACCTGTGGGGACAAGCTGGACTTATTCAGAATGCAAGGAACAGCTGTGGAAGTGATGAGGGGTGGGTTGGAAGAGAATATAACATATGTACACAGGGCAAACCCAAACTTTTAGAGTGAAATATTAGCTGAAATAGAGAATGTACAAACAGAACAAGCATCTGTTTAGTCCGGCTGCCTACAGACAGTGTTATTTAACATTTTTCAGTTTTGTCCCTCCATCCGTCCATCCATCCATCCATCCATCTTTTTTCTCACTTTCCTTTTAGGCCACAGTGATGGGAAATGCCAAAGTGGAGAACCACACGGAATGCCACTGCAGTACTTGTTATTATCACAAATCTTAAATGTTTTGCAAAAGAGCATGTTGATGACTGCTGATTTCCTGGAGTGAAAAGTTAATTTTTCAGTGTTTATGGCCTTGTGAGATAAAACCCCCTTTTTCCTTACCATACTCCTTTTGGTGTGCTTCGGGGATGTACTGCAACTTTATTGCCTTTCTCGTTTTCCTACAGTATAATCAGAAGTCTAGTTCTTTTCATTTGGAGTGAAGTACTGCATTTAGCATGTACATAAAAAGCTGGTTCCTCTGGAAATAAAGCCTTTTAAATCATCATTCTATCATTGGATTCTAATTTTTTCTTAAGGGTTTAAACCAGGTACTTTTGATAAGATTAATTGAAGGGAGGGAGCCAATGGGTGAGCCAAGGTCCCATGCACTCAGTGACCCCGGAGAACACTGATCTTGCCAAGATCCTTCTGGTGAGATCCAGAAGTACATCCTTTAGCAAGTGGGCTAGTTATAAAACAATCTGTTGGGTTGAGGAAAGAAAACACAAGAACCTCCATTGCTATTCATTTTTATGTCACCCCTTTGATGACTTTTATAGAAGTATATATACATCAGTATGGTAATAAGTGTATAAAATTTATAAATAAATAATTCTGCATAGATTGAGGTCGTTTGATCAGACACTTTCTACTGGGAGAAATGTGCAAAATTAGGGAAAAAGAATTAAAAAACACTGCTGTAAGTCTTGAGCAAGACAAAATCCTTCCCAGCCTGAAGATACTATCCACTTGGCTCATACCTAGCTAAAAAAAGAGTACATTTTATTAGTCCTTGGCAACAATGTTACAACTGAATGGTGGTTAAGGAAAGGGCATTGTTGTCCTCAATAAAAATTGGGCACTGCTTTGATATTCCACGGACATTGGCTCTTACAGTCCACATTCAAGCCTAGAAGGGAATGAATAAATGATGAGCAAAGTACTCACTGAGCCCTCACTATGGGCTAGATGGGGTGCCAAGCTTTTCACTGTAGTAGAATTTTATGTAGTTCTATCCAAATGCTTAAGAGCGGTGTCACATTTATTGAGTATTTATACTTAAAAACAGAGATGGCCCTTCCTCTGAGGCTCATGGCTTTATACATTAAATTATATTAGCTCTGGAAGAGATCAAAGCCACTCAAAAATTCTCTCCTACAGGAGCCTGAAATTAAAAAAAAAAAAATCACACTGGTCACAGATAAAGGTTTCAAAATAATTTCAGTTATCATTAATTTGTCAAGATTCCACTTCTAAATGAAAAACTAGTTCCTAACAGGTTTGTAAACACACTGGGTATCAGGATAAAAAATTAAAATGAGTGCATGTACTTTTTAAGAAAAACATATGAAGATATTACTCCATTTGTTCATTTGTTCATTTATTATACATTTATTTAGTGTCTAGTAAGTGCTGGCATGTTGGTACATTATGGGGATTCAGAGATATCGGGATTCCTGGAAAGATAAGATGGAGAAAATATAATGTAGCTTAATTCAAGAGAACAGTGGAGCTGATCATTAGTTCATACAGATATTTAATAGATATTCACTGAGAATCTACCATGTGTCAGGTCTGGAGATCTCATCGGGGAATTCCGCAGGAGAGGAAAGAGTGTCCTTGTCCATCTGGGATCATCTAATTGACAGACGGGGAGGAGACATTCTTATGGTCATTCAGATCAATCAGATCAACCCTGGAGAACATTAGGATGAAATGTCTTGGGGATACTCACTTCCCATCTCGGCATGGGCCAGGCATGGTGCTGGGCTTGGGAAGGTCAAGATGAGTAAGACACAGACTTGCTCTGTAGCAATCCACAGTCCACTGGGGAAGAGAGACATAGGCAAAGAATTACAATCTAATGGGATACATGCTATGGGAGAGGTGTGGGACTTTGGTGGCGCAAAAACAGGGATGGTTAACTCAGCCTGGTAGGGTTTGTCATGGACAGCTTCACAGGGCAGATGATACTTGAGTTGGGCCTAAGAGTTAAGCAGAGAGATGGGGGAGGGGCTCAGTCTAGTTGGAGGAAAACAGTAAAAGTAAACATCCTGAGATGGGAACAGGTGTGATGCTCACAGAATTGCAAGAAGTTCAGTGTGACTGGATCACAGGGAGATGGATAAGTCCTGCAACTGCAGAGACAAACGGACACTTGTCAAAGTCCTTGTATAACATGCAGAGAAAGTGCACTCCAGCTAGGACAGCAGTTTCTCAAACTAGAAGGCCTGAGGGTTCCAGAGGCTGCAGGATAAAATGCCCTTTTCTGCAAGATCGATTTTGCTTGAAGCTTTGGGGAAATATTATTATTATTATTATTTTTTTAAGATTTTATTTATTTATTTGACAGAGAGAGATCACAAGCAGGCAGAGAGGCAGGCAGAGAGAGAGGAGGAAGCAGGCTCCCAGCTGAGCAGAGAGCCCAATGCAGGGCTCGATCCCAGGACCCTGAGATCACGACCCGAGCCGAAGGCAGCGGCTTAACCCACTGAGCCACCCAGGCGCCCCGGGGAAATATTATTTTGATTTTAAAACAAAGACCAACACATTATAGAATAGAATGTAAAATTGTAAAAATCAGAGTAAAAAAAGAAACTTTGTGCTGAGAGTGTGGCCCTCCAGACCCTGCTCTTCTGACCCCTCCCACACCCGCTGCGAGCTTGCCTTAGGAGTACTTGAATGGAGGAGGTATTATTAAAGAATTAATATGGTTAGCTTTCCACTTTGGAAAAATCATTTTGGGAGCAAGGAAAGTGAGAGACTGGACCCAGGATCACAAGTTTGCAATTGTCTCGGCACGAGACGGTGCTAGTCTGCTGGCAGTGAGGATGAGAGTAAGAGAACCAGATGGAGTAGGGAGGAATTAGGAGGAAATGAGGAGCTCATTGTGGGTGTGGCTCCTGGCTCTTTGGGTGGCTGGTGGATGACTGGGTCAATAACCAGGAAATGGAAAGGTTTGCATGGCAGCAGAGGGGGGAATGACATTCCGTCTGCGGCCTGTGAGTTAAGGCGTCTAAGGAATATCAGGTGAACTTGTCTGATAGGCAGCCTGTACAGTGACATGGAGCTCAGGGAAGGACTCCAGCCCCGAGGTACAGGCTTGAGGGTCGTCAGGGGTGGGCGAGGCCAAAAGCACAGGGGCGTTTAGGATTGCTCAGGAGTGTGTGAAAGTGTGATGAAGAGATGCTGGACCGCCAACCATGGATTCTGGGCCAGGCTGGCTGAGAAAATGATTATGTCTTGTGCGACAGTCGAGTTGAAAGCCCTGATATGAGCTCTCTAGAGAACAGATTACAATCTCAACCATAAAAGCAGCGAGGCAGAAGAGAGGCAGGCATGGGGGCTGGACATTTTGTTTCAAGCCTATCTGTGAAAAATTCCTAAAAGAAAGAGGTAGAACAAGCACGTGTTTGAGCAATTATTCTATCCAAAAAAATCTCTACCATTTTCCTCAGCCAGAAAGCTGCCTGAAATTCTACCATTTTGAGATTCTTTCCTTAGGACTAAGACACAGTCTCCTGGACATCTTTTTTCTTCCCCCCCGTGACAACACATCTGATGGAGGCAACATAGTTGACCATTAACCTGAGAGATAAGATAAACAGACCACCGGGTCTGTCTGCTCGGGTCATGGGCCTAGGGAGAGAGGGGTGTCAGGCGGAATGATGAAAGGATAAAACAAAAAAGCTAGACTTCTACTTCTCTGTAGTTGTATCAAGAATCCTGGAGCCATAACTTCTAAGTGATTACGGGGATGCCACTGATGATGAGAACTCAATGAGGAGGCCAGGGAACAAGGATGGTTCCTATGACTTAGTCTGTCTCCTGAGAGCAGAAGGAAAGGGCAGCAAACAATGAGAGGGAAAGAGACACAGGGAAGGGAAGAGAAAGAAGAATGGAGGGGGTAGAAAAAGTTGGGGCAGGAAAAACATGTGAGAGGGATGGGGGAGAGACAAGAAGGGGTGCTAGAGGAGCTTGCAGCCTCAGAGGTGGCTGACCTGGATTAAAGCAGAGAGGAAAAAGTCATGGCTCTACATGCTGCCACCTCTTCCTCCACCATGGCCGGAATCCAAGTAATCACCCAAAGTGAAGACCTCTAGCCATTCTGGAGCCTTTGTGCAAATGGATGAAAATGCCCTCTCTGGGCAGGCAGAGCACCTTAAGTAAATGGCTTCAGAACTAAATGGCACAGAAAAGTAGATATCAGTCAGTCTTTAACCCCTTTGTGTAGCCCACACACTGTGCAACTTTCCATGCTAGCCACGACCATGACCTCTTTATCTTCATATGACTGTGGGAGATAATGTCCTAAACTGGTGAGAATCTTAGATTCCACATGTCTCCAATTCCAATCTGAGATCCCAAATGTTGACTCCTAATATTCTTATAGTGTTGGGAGGCTTCTGGAGAAAATATTCCCCCAAATAGTTTGGTTTTGCTTTTACCAGCTATGCGGAAACTAGAAGAGCTGCCCATAATCTGGTCCAACAGGAAGGTAAAACCAGAGAATACACATGTAAATGACCATGAAGCTGACATGAAGTTGGTTAGGACCACAAACCTCAAGAGGTCCAGAGAGGTCCCCTCACTTGATAAAAAGTTAATCGATGTCAAACCACCTGACATCAGTACAGCACTTTTACTTTCTCAAAGCTTTCTGCGCCTCATGTCAGTGTGTCTGACTCAGCCCTTTGTGGACTGCAAGTCAGGGCAGGTGGCACTGTCTCCATCTGACAATTGAATAAACGGAGGCACCAAGAACTTTGGTTGTACAGGGACTGAGAATGTATGGAACCCTGGGTCTCCCCATATCCAGTTTTGTGCTGTTTCTTTCAAATTCCAATTTCCTCTCAAGGTATGAAGTGTTTAACTGCAAAGAACCTATTTTTCCTTGGGTCCCGAATCTGCGCTCTCTTGGAGATTTGCTCAGGGTGAAATGCCATGTTAGTAAAAGAAATGAAATCTGAACTATGAATTGTCCACTGATGTTTTGTCTGAAGCTAGAGCTTCAGTTTTACCATTATGATATTTTGTTTTTGTTTTTGTTTTTGATTCATTCAACACCTCCTTCAGACAGTTTCTTTTTGAACTTCATTAGGAGAAACACAAAGTGATTTCTCTCTTCTGAAACCCAAGTAGAATTTCCATATTCTCCTATT